ACTCTAGCCCAGACAACAGAGCAAGACTCTGTCTCAAAAAAAAAAAAAAGAATTGAAACAACAACACTGTGGTTGGCTATTAACTGCCCATTATTGGTATATATTAATAGACATGCACTTGTGTGATTAGATATTTGAATGTAAAAATAACAATAAGTAGTAATTTTCAAATGAAATAACATTTAACATTTTATAATATTATACATATGTGTGTGAGTGTGTGTGTGTATACACACCAATGTTTTAAACTTTTTTCATATACCTTTGAGATTATGTCCATAAGCTTGAATGTCAAAGCTGCCACTTAAAGGTGGAGATGCTGCTTGAATTCTTTGAATACGAATTTTTGACTTCCCTGGCCAATTATTTCCTCTGTAAACAGACTCATTCTCAGTCTCGTGTGTGATTATCTAATTTCCAAAATAAATATTGATAAAATGATTAAACTTAACAACGGCTAGCATGACTTTTATTTCACCATGGTACAATCTGTGACATGACATAAATGAGCCTCATGTATTCAGGATTCTTCAGAACATTAAAGAGAGTCACATAAATCAACACAAGCCATACCTACATAGCTGCAATAATGAGGCCAAAGTCAACTCAGTGATCTGTGCAGCAATCAGCTGGAACTGCGGTAATACCTCATTAATTCAGAATGCACCCTCCATCACTCAAGGAATAAATATTTATAGAGCAGGAACTCTGTTTGAGGCACAGTGCTAATCACTATAGGGAGCATGAGATGTAGTCTTGGCTATCAAAAAACTAAAATGTTTTTAAAGAAAATACTATATGGAGACTTGAAAACTTAATCAAAAATTTAAGAAAGTATATGGTCAATGCAATGATGTAGACTCAAAAAATATACTTGTTTAATGTTTTTTTTAATTTATTTTTTATTTCAGAATATTTTAATGTTCAGTTGCCAAAAAATTGACCAAAGTAACACGTGCTATATAAATTCATAGATTGTAACTCTAATAGTGAAAATTATATTCTCCTGCTTCTGATCCCTCATAGTTATCTGTTAATCTTCTAGAATTTAAAATGATAAGCCATCTAGCCCACAGAAATAAGCAAATATAAGTGCCAACAGACATATGCAAGAATGAATAGTAGCTTTTATTCATAATAGCCCTGAATTGGAAATAATGAAAAATCTGTCAACAGAATGAATAAATTATGGTGTATGCATACCACAGAAAACTGTACAGCAATGAAAAAGAACGGACTACAGCACATGCAATATGAATCTCGCAATGTTGAAAGAAAGAAGCTAGATACAAAAAAGTGCACACTGTATGATTCCATTGATATAAAGCTTAAGAACAGGCAAAAGTTATTAATGGTGGTAGAAGTCAAAATAGCAGTTATCTGGGGGTTTAGGAGCAAACAGTTTGATGCCAAGGAGGAGGCACGAGGAAGGCTCTTGGGAAGCCAAAGATTTCCATTATCTTGATCTGGGTGGTAATTACATGGACGTCTTTACTTTGTAAAAATTCATTGAGTTCAGTAAGGCTGGAGGATACAAAATCAACACTCAAAAACCAATCATATTTCGACATACAAAAAATGAGCACGCAGAAACTGAAATTAAAAACATAAGATCATGTACAACTGCTTCAAAGAAAATAAAATCTTTATGTATAACTCTAACAAAACATGAGCCAGATCTGACCTGAAAATTTCAAAATGCTGATAAAAATAATCAAAGAAGACCTAACTATGCTGATAGAAGAAAGCACAAGAAGACAAATAAATGGAGAGATATATCGTGTGCATGGACTGGAAAATTCAACATAATAATGGTGTCAATTCTCTCTAAAACAATCTATAGCTTTAATGCAACTGTTCTCAAAATATCAGCGAGGTTTATTGTAGACATAAACAAGCTTATTCTAACATTTACATGGAAAGACACAGGACCTAGAATAGCTAAAACAGTTTTATACAAGAAAGCTAAAATGAGAGGAATTGCTCTAGCCAATGTTAATTAAGGTTTATTGTACAGCTACAGTAGTCAAGAGAGTGTGGTATTGGTGGAAGGCCTACACATGGAGTTACGGGACAGAATAGGAGGGCCAGAAATATACCCACACAAATATGTCCAACTGATTTTTGACAAAGGTGAGTAGGTAAGTAAACGGAGGAAAGAAAGCCTTTTCATTAAATTGTCCTGGAGCAATTGGAGCCATAAGCAAACAAATGAACCTCTATCTAAAACCACACCTTATATAAAAATTGACTCAAAATGGATCATGGTCTTAAATGTAAAATGTAAATCTATTATATTTTTAGGAAAATAATAGAAAAATTCTCAGGACCAAGGGCTGAGTTCTTAGACTTAAAACCAAAAGCACCAATCAAAAAGGAAAAAATTGAATAATTGGGGCTTATCAAAATTAAAAATTTTTGGTCTGTGAAAGACATTACAAAAATAATGAAAAGGCAAGGCACAGTCTGGGAGGAAATACTTGCCAACTACATATGTGACATAAGACTCATACTAGACATTTCACAGAAAAAGATACATGGGTGGCAAATTAGCCCATGGAAAGATGTTCAACATTATTAGCCATTAGGGAATGCAAATTAAAATGAAAATAAGCTATCACTACATACCCAGTCAAAAGGGCTAAAATTAAAAATAGGGAAATCACCAAATACTAGCAAGACTGTGCAGAAACTGGATCACTCTTACATTCCTGGTGGGAACATAAAATGGTGCAACCACTTTGGAAAAGAATATGGAGGTTCTTTAAAAACTATACATGTATTTACCATATGACCCTATAATTGCACTGTTGAACATTAAACCAGGAAAAATGAAAACTTACACCACAAAAATCCTACAGATGAATATTAGAGCAGCTTTATTCGTAACAGCCAAAACCAAGAAACCACTCAAATATCCTTCAGTGGGTAAGTGGTTAAATAAACTGTGGTACATCCACAACATTGAACACTACTCAGCCATCAAAATGAAACTTTTGATGCATACAACAACTTGGATGGATCTCAAGGGAATCATGCTGAGTGAAAAAAGACAATCTCAGAAGGCTATATACTTGTATGAGTATATAAAGTCTGATTCCATTTATATAACATTGTTGACATGATAAAATTATAGAGACAGAATAGATTAATGGATACCATATATAAGCGAGTTTGGGAGGAAGGGAATGAAGCAGGTGGTTGTGGCAACTGTGGCTATAGAGGGGTAGCACAAGAGACGCTTGTGATGGAATTGTTCCGGTCGTGACCAGATGAATCTACATAAGTGATAAAATTATGTAAGAACTACGCACACATACACACATGCAAACGACTGCATGTCAAACTGGTAAGATCAGAATAAAGTTAGTGGATTTTATCAGTGTCAATTTCCTGGTTATGATATTATGCTATATTACACAAGAAGTTATCATTGGAGAAAATGAGTGAGGAATATAGGAATATCTCTGTATCATTTCTTACAACTGTGTGTGAATCTACAATTATCTCAATGAGAAAGTTTTTAAAACAATATATACATATGCATATATCTTTCATTTGAATTTTTAAAAGGTCACAAAAATATAAATTCCATATTCTCCAATTTAACCTTAAATAAATAATTAAAGATATAGGTTAAAATTACCAATTATTAGTTTAGAGAGAAATCTTGAAAAATGGGAGACTGTTGACATCAATGCCTTGAGAACCAAAAGCTCTGAGTTAGTTATTACATTTTGTAATAGAGCTAAAATACTAGAAAACATTTACAGGGTATTTATCTAAGGATATTCAATTTATTATGCTTGTTTTTGATTTGTGTTAGGAAATTATATTAACTCACTGAATATTTTCATAAGAAATTAAATTGAAAAGTGTTCATTATATTTGTAGTATTTAACACTAATCTTATTATAAATGTACAAAAGTTCAGATCCTTTTGGAATTATGAAAAAACACCTGTTTCTTCCTTGTATAAATTTTGATACATGCAAAAATAAATAGTGTTTATAACAGAAACAATTTTAAAACATAATGCAGAATCTAAACTTTCTTTCAATAATTGCTGTTCAAAAATCTTTATTGGAAGAGCACACAACTTTTTCTTTAAAGTCAACAAAGAAAACTTGACTTAAATCTGACTAACTTTGGTTTTTAAGGGTATTTCTCCCTTTATTTTCCCCCATAGATACATTTCTTGAAGAATTTCTTAATGCTTAAAGTCAATTTTCATGCTCAATTTCAACAAGCCTCTAAATCTTCATGTATTCTTAGAATAGTTTTCTTGTTCTATTAAAAGATTCAATCTGTATAGTAGCTATTTTAAAAAATTTACAAGAAACTTTAGTACATCAAAACTCATGTTCATTAAGTTGAAAATAATAACTTGCAAAATCTAGGCTTACCTGCCCAAAGCTCACAGCAATCATGGGTATATTATGACTGCAATTATATGAAGTCATGGTAACAGAATATTGGTTCATTATAGCTGATCCATTTGTTTTGGTCTGATTCACCTGAAAGTGCTTTAAAAATATTCCTTTATTTGCTAATGCAGGAAGCCTTCTCTTTGGCATTTCTAAAGAATATAAATAAAGTAAATGGGAGATAAAATTGCATAGCTTCTGTTGCTAAAAATAAAATCATCAAATAATATCAACATGCCACGGAATAAAGTATTCAAATTCAAATTTTAGAAAGAGACCTTAAGTAGTTTGTAAAGCCAGATTAATTTTCACTTCTAGATTATAAAGCTTTAATGTCCTTTGACATGTGAACCCATCAAACAGAACCAAATATTTAAAAGTCTCCAAACCCTGGGTCCCACCTAGCAGCCTTCTGTGGGTCAGTGGGCTTTGTTCTGTTCTTGGTTCCCTGAATGTGGTGCTCAGTAGGATGCATACTTCATGAGGGCAAGACAAGGATAGTCACGTTCACTGTTCTTTCCTTAGTACTTGACATAGTGCCTAACACATAGGAGGCACTAAATGAATGTTGTTTAATGAACTACAACATTTATCTCAGCAAAATCTAGTCATCTTATATATGTGTTCCTCCAATCATAATGGAGGTCTGGGGACAGCAGATTCAAAAGGAGTTACTATAAAGTCGTAACTACTGTTTTGTCACTTGACTCATTGCCTTGCACTTGAAAACAGTTCCAAAGGAAAGGATTCCAACATTCCTCCAAAAATGGGAAAAGTCACTTTTTAAGGTGACTGTTTATGGTAGGTTGATTTTTTTAAAAGACTGTAGAGTTTAATTTTATTATTTTATTATCACATCTCAAATACATATGTCTATTAACAGGACTAGAAAAACAATGCTAAGACTATCAAAAATAAAGTTTTAATTTATAGTATTATTAATTATCACTCTTAAGTCTACCTTAAGTTTGAGGTCAATCTTACAAGACATATGAATGTCAATAGTTAGATTTTAGGAATAGATATCCCTCTTGGTAGCTGGTTTCTCAAAGATGAAGCAAGGCAAAATGAAAATGTTTGCCACAGTTTATTTATCCATGAACAAAATCCAGGATTATAAAGCTCATTCCTGCTATAGTTCACTAAGGATGAATTTATCCTTAGAATAATTACCTTGCCATATTAATTAAAAATAAAATTAAATCATAATATTATTGATATGAAAGAATGCCTCAATATTTATAGATTAATTTTTCTATCTACACTATAGAATATAAAAATAATTTCCATGGTAAGATTTTACTACAGATAATTTAGATTACAGTAGATATAAAATGATACAACATACCATCCAATGTTGAAATTGTAGGTGTCTGTCCAATGTATACTATATCCACATAGAAGGACTGTGATTCTGATGCTTTCTGTAGACTAATTCTTTGAAGAGAAAAATTTGTCCCAGTGTATTTGGTTTGTATGAGATCCAGAAGATCTATGCAAGTATAGGTCCAGCTGAAATATGATTGAATAATATGTTATCTAGATCAGTTATAATGTTTAATGTAAACAAATATACTATAAAAAGCATTAAAAATTTAAAGAGTAAAAGGATTTTTTCTCCCACAAGCATAATTTATTAGCACAGAAAAGCAGCCATAACAGGGCACCAAATGCAGAAACTTACATTGGCAGTAGGAGATCTAATGTTGCATACATATATAGCTTGTCTTCTATTTGTAGGCTTGGCAGTAGCCATAGCAATGTAAAACAACATTCTGTAATAACAGGTAAGGAAACTAAAGGGTACGCACATTGGTGTAGAGCACATTAACAAAAACAAGACACAAGAATAGAACAAACTATTTTAGTAAAAAATGCCATGGACAGAACAGTAAATTCAGTCCAATCCTAAGAGGCAAAACCAGAACCTGATATTATTTCTAGAAGAGCTCACTGGAGTAGCATTGCCCATTATTCTATGTGCCAAAAAGATGCTAAGTTATTTACAGATATAAATGGTTGCATAGTACCTTTGAAATATATAACTTAGATTCAGATTTTCCATTAAATATTAACTGCATTGGAATCTCTCAAATTACAATTAAGCATTTCAGCTGTGAGAGTTTGGAACAAAGAGGTAAATACTGCCATCCAAGTAATTAAATATAGTTTAACAATAATCTTTACATCAGCTACCACTATAGTTATTAACTGACTAGTTTGTTTGGGCACCTTCTAGTCTCACTTTCTTCCTGGTTCATAAACGTATCATGGGATCCAGCTCTAGCTTATCAAAGCTTAGACTGCACATACCAGTTTTAGATAATTGTATACAGAACTATATTATGTTAAAGTACTCTTTAAATTGAAAAAGTACTTAGGGCCTCTAAGTAGAATTCCACTATTGATTATATAATTCTAAAGTTTTAAAAACCACAATTTAGAAAATTTGATATGCTGAACAGGACCCTTATGAGAAAAAAGGAGATGACAAGTGACATCAAAACAACTGAGCTGCATATTGTGCCTTTGTGACTAGATAATTCCATTTTTGAAAAGAAAAGCAGCCTACATTTTAGATTTTGAAACATGATTTATAACTACAAATATCACTGTTTTGGGGAAGGTTATAGAACAATTCTTAAGAAAAAATGGCACCTTTAAAATTAACACTGTACTGAAAAAACTAACACTAACATATCTATGTGATCTAGGCAGACTGTCTGACCTACATAAAAGAAGATCTAGAAATATCTGCTAGAAGCAAAAGCATTTACTTTGCCTTGACTGGTAATGGTTTTAACGAGAAAACCCTATTCTTTTTAAAAATCATGCTATTCTTTTTTAAAGGTCTTGTAACATTTAGGACAAAGAAAATCCATCAGCTCCATTAAATGCAGTGCATGTTGAAATTACTTCACAGCAGATAAATCATAGGCTAAAATTAGAGACCTATTTGATGACATTGTAAGTGATGGCTTGACTAACATGGAAGTGCTGGGATCTGTAAAATGTTCCAAAATCCTGTAGCAGTGAAAGCGGGAAATACACAAGGATGGTGGGCATCAAAGCTAAAGTTTTGATTTCACTGTTCAATTTGAACATGCAGCACTGTTGTAGCAAAGTTACTTTCAGATGTCCCTTCAAGAAGAACTTTTGCTTCATAATGATCCACCATAAGATTACTCATGATTTGAAGTAAATTGGGCATGAAGCATTGGTATATAATCATTCTTTTTATAGACTTTTCATGCTCTTTGCCAACTAACATGAGTGGGGCTCCCTTGATCCCTGGCATTGCATCTGCCCATCTGACTGCCAACAGAGCGTAGTTGTGGCTCTTCTGAGTCAATGATTACTCTGTGAAATTGCAGAATTGTCCCCACTCATTTCGTTCATTCCAGGAGCTAACTCTAAGAGTTACATTTTATATATTGGATTAAACTGTATAGTGGCCTCAAAGGAATATATTTATGCATTGGGAGAATCAAAAACTTTTTCAATGCAAATATCTCTCTTGTAACACCAATAAATGAAAAAACATTCTGTGTTCATGGATTGAAAGAATTAAGATTGTTAAAATATTCATATTGCCCAAAGCAAACTACAGTTTAATGCAATCCCTATCAAAATACCAATGAAATTCTTCACAGAAATAGAAAAAAAACAATCCTAAAATCCACATGAAAATGCAGAAGACCCAGATAGCAAAAGCAATCTGGAGTACAAAGAACAAAGCTGGAGGCATCACACTACCTCGCTTCACAATATACTACAAGGCTATAGTAACCAAAACAGTACGGCACTGGCATAAAAACAGACACATAGACCAATGGAACAGGGCAATGATGTGCCCTCATCTGCCCCCACAAAACCAAAAAAAGTCCAAGAAATAGATTTGTTTTATCTTTATAGTTTATATACTATAGTATAAATGATGTTTTCAAATTTATGGTGTAACTTACTTGTTTCCATCAGCAAAGTTATATATAAATCGTTTATCAGTGCTCCTAGTAATCTTGCCATTGTCTTGGTACTTGAATTTTACACCAATATAATTTGTCAGAAATCCTTTGTATGCTAAGCATAACTACATAAAAAACATGAAAAAAAAATCAGTAACAATATTTTATCATTAAATTGTTTTGTAACAATTCAAATTAATTCAATCCAATTCAACATATATTTATTGAGTATTTTTCATATAAAATGTACCAGATCACGGAGAAAGGAATGACTAATTTCAGTCAGTTGGCTGAAGAAGAATAGGGGAAGGTTTTATAGAGGAGGAAGGGAAGTGACCTTACAATTAGTAATTAATTCTTTTCTTTTTTCTTTATTTCAGCATATTACAGGGGTACAAATGTTTAGGTTACATATATTGCTTTTGCCCCACCTGAGTCAGAGCTTCAACTGTGTCCATCCCCCAGACATTACACACCACATCCATCAGGTGTGAATGTACCCATCCCCTCCTCCCCCCTCCCACCTGCCCGACACCCGATGAATTAATTAATTCTTTATTGTTTTCTTAGATATGATTTCCTTTAAAAACGGAAACAATTCACTACCTGTGGAGATAAGCTATGTACTAACTCTAACTAAAGTTTAAAAGTCCATTCCATGTAGGGAAAGAAGAGAAGTAAACATTGAGGCAGATTAATTGGGATGTGAATGCAGTTGAGCATTTAGAGATAGAGATCAATGTTACTGTAAAATAGCAATTAAAATACCAATTTTAATGGTCCACACCTCCTTAAGCATGCCAAATATATTAAGAACTCAAACTTTAGAACATTTTCTACAAGTTGAGAATTTTAAAACCAGAGAAATCGTGAATCTAGCTAGTCTTACATACCCATACTAAAACTGCCATCTCCTCCTCAGAATTTTGTTTCACTTTTCTCCTATCACTCTATGATGGCTATCCATTTTTGTTTCTTTTTAATTAATAAAGAAAAATGGAGGTGCTTATACATTTTTAATTGTTTTGGTATTCAAACTTGTGTGTAAATGATTTTTTTCTGAGATTATGAGATAAACAATGCATGATACATGGTGCTATATTTATACTTTTTCTTTCTTTCTTTCTTTCTTTCTTTCTTTCTTTCTTTCTTTCTTTCTTTCTTTTTTTTTTTGAGAATCACCAGAAGAGGAAATCTCAAGCAGTCAGAAGGTAAACTGCAATGCCTGTCCAACATGACATGATTTCACATGGCAAGTGCTTTTCCTTGTCTTAAAATTTCATGAAATTTTATTACCAAGGTATTTTCCAGATTCAATTAGCATATCATTTTGTTGAGTTTACCTGATTATAAGGAAATAATAAAATGTCTCCATATGGTAGTCTGTTTGGCTTAACATCTGCTGAATCAAAAAGAACAGCTGGGTTTTTCAAGGAATAACGACCACAGTAAGCATCGGTTTCAGCTGTCTTCTGCCCTCTATTAATATTATTCTAGAGAAACAATAATATTTCAAATGAAAACATGATTTGATGTCCTGCTTTTTCGCCAACATCTCCACCCAAGTCATTCAAGGTCCAGCGCGGATCCTGTTGTTTCCCAGATGACTTTAACTTAAAATATTTTCTCCTTCCTCTGAAATTCTAAAGCTCTCAATCAGATTTATAATATTATTATTTAACAATCCCTTATACATGTACTTAACTATTAATATTTCCAAAGTCTTATGTTTCTCCTTACACTATAAACTCCTTAAGGATATTTATTCATTCCTTCCCTAAATGTTCATTCTGTGTTTACCACATATCGGGTTTTTGTGTGTTTGTTTTTTGTCTAATCTTCAGGATTCAAGTGGTGAAGAACACTATCCACATACACAGGGGCCCAGCTGGGACAAAGAAACCAATGATTACAACACTAAGGCTGAAAGGAGGCATCTAACTCACATAAAAGCATCAAGAAAGGTAACTCAGAGGAAGTGATGAATGTTTTTAAAGTCTTTCAAGATAAATGGGAGTTGTTCAAATGGGAAAAAAGGGCCAATGGGCTTCAGAGAGAGGATAAAATATGTGCAAAAAAGCAGAGGAGTGAGAAAGCCTGGTGCTAGAAAGGCAAATGATTGGGAAAGGTAAGATTAGGTGGGGCTTGGAAATGCATGTAGGGGTGATGATGAGAGATGAAGTAGGAAAGGAGTAGGATGTAAATTACTTGTGCAATCCTTGTGATTGCTACTACCACATTCAGAATAGGAGAACCCAGATACACATATATTTATGAAAATAAGTTGGAAAGGTCGCCCATTAAATGGAAAGATTTTTTTTCTCACTAATAAATCTGTTCATGTAAAATATCATGAGATACATATTTTTACAGATTTACATTTGTTTCTAGATCATTGATCTAAATTAGATAACCGGACTATATATTTCTTATTCTTACAATATTCACTTGAAAATGGTAAATATTTGGCTTCCTCAAGTCTTCAAAATGAGAATTAGAAAGTGTGTATTTAATGTTTTTTCCTTTATTGTGTATCAAAGAAAAATCTTTATATCTCATTAAGAAAGAAATAATGACTAGGCATCACTAATTAACCACAGGGTGATCTCAAAAACCAAAGGAAGCAATTTACTGTATAATGCTTCTCCACAAATTGTATTCTCTGAAGCCAATAAGGAAAAATATACCCTGCATCCATGTGAGGAAAACAAACAAAACAAACAAAACACCCTGTAGATCTTACATCTTCCCATCTTCCCTACTCTCTATTGACCAAGAAAATTCATGTGTGGTGGAAAAATTGCTTTCACAAATCAATCCTTTTACAGTACAAGAAGATGCTAGAACAGGCCTTACCAATAAACATATAACAAATTATTTTTGCAATTTGACTTTAAATGATAAAATAAGTAATGCTAGTTCAAAAAAGAAATCATAAATTTCCCAATATTTGTATGAATTCTTATTTGGTCAGTTTCACATTTCATTGAATATTCCATACCAGGTTAAAATCAGTTTCATAGTCTCTGAAGTATTTCACAACAAATCCTTCTTCAAAATTTGCAATTTCTGGTGGACACTTAGTGCTAACCATTTCTTCCACTGCTACCTGAAACTAAATTCACAATACGCACTTTAGTAACTTTTTTTCATGAAGAGTTAGAATAGTAGTAATTCTACTACTAATTCTAATTAGTTTTAATATCGCATTTTTATAAGATAATTCCCATATTTTAGCCACAATCATGAGATCATTTCCTAAATAATTTTAAATTAACGTGTGATAAATTTTAGTGTGAAATGAGTTTTCAAGAAGTTTATTTTAGCAATATTTATATCCAATTGGCTAATATTAGCTTACTTAGTTATTACATAAATTAGACATATTTGCTTAGCATTTTTTTAAAGAGAGCAATGAAGCAAACCTAACTTAATTAGTACCCAATTAAACAGAGTCCAAATAAGTAATTTTTTCAACTAACTCAAAATTAACTGAGAAAGAACTACATACTATTCTGTTTTTCATAAGAAAGAACTACATACTATTCTGTTTTTCATAAGAAAAGATGCATATACTGTAAACCTGTATTTATGATTATTCCAAAAATAATAAATAATTCTGGATTATGCAGAAATTGGTAACCATTCATGAGTCTTCTATAACTTCCACATCTATTTCTCTGGCAAAGCACAGAAATAATTCTTTAGAATTAAGGGTTTGAGACAATATAAAATCTTTAATCATCAAATAAATATTAACTTAAACTCATTGTACAGGTAATTGTCAAAATCCAGTAACTCATAATTCTTTCTTTGTGAACAGCTGCCCCATACGGAGCTACATTAGGTCCCGTTGGCACAGATCTAAGAATTCCGCTTTCCTTCTCTGTCTTTATAATATTTCCTCCCTTCTCTCCTCACAATGGGTTGGCTCCAACTCACCATGTCAACCAGGAGAATGTATTGCTACTATTTCAAGTGTTCTTTATAAAAGATTGACACGTACATGGCTTTCTGTTTAATAAAATAATAAGACTTAAACTTACCAATACTTTATGGCTAAGCTATTACTTACACGTCTCTCAAGAAATTTCTGGCTTTTACATGATGACAAATTGGATTCTGAATGAAAATAATGTTAGGGTGGCTAGAGGGACACAGAACTTCTGCAAGCAGAGCAAGGCTTAAGGGCTTTAAAATGTCTTGTCTAGAAAAAGGGGTGGCTGTGTTAGACTGCCTCTGAGTCCTCTTTCAGACAAAAATGTCATGGTATATAAGTTGTGGTAAGTTGGTGAGGTTCTAAAAGATTTATAGTGATTTTTGGAAGTAATGTCTCTTTCCATCTGTCTACAAATGGCTGGCGAATGCTGTGAGAGGAGGCAGGGAAAATGCACAGCAGGATCATCCCTAGAGCGTACTTCAGCTTCTGATGACTGTGGGGTAAGAGGCTTAGAAGCAATCCCATCCCAATTCAGTGTGAATGTCTCCAAGCTGGGTTTTCCTTTGGTTTGTTCTGTAATATCCAGTGTGACATTGTTCCCTTCAAATACTTCATAACCAAGCAGATCAAAGTCTCCTGCAATGAAGGACAAAACAGAATTCTTAAAAATTAACTAATATAATACCAGTATAACAGACACTTAAGTTTAACCAAATTGGTTTTACATGGACTTCCATTATCACAACAGAAGAATGAATGGGAAAGATACAGATCCTCAAACTCGAGCAGATTTAGACATAGCAGAAATAGCAAAACAAAGTGCTGCCTGTTTAACGTGCTGTTTCTATGGCTTAAAAGAAAGTATTATAAGATAAACAGACGGATGTATTGGGACCATGAGGTAAAGATCAATGGACAGTAAGATGTTTCAAAAATTCTTTTAGTTTTGTGCCAATACCATTATTTTAGTGCAAATGGCTCTATGTTCCTATTTTCTTTAGACCTCAATAGGGCACAAAGCTGAATTTCTGGAAATATCCCAAGCCTGTGAGGCTTGTTCATACAATGTCACTTTGGGAAAAAAAGACCATGTCCTCAGATGTCTGTCCTCTATGGAAGGATGCTTTACCAGTGGAATCCTGTCGGCCTTTTCTGTTGGGTAAAGTCTTAGAATTTGACCAGTTATGACTTGTGTACCATATTTCTCTGCTAAAGCCTTAAAATTTCTCTCTGATCTAAAAATAAATCAACAAAGATAACCATATCTTCATTTACATAGTATTTTCCCAATCTAACTTTTGAAAAATTTTTAGAATTAAATTCATGTTAAACAAAATTCTTCATCCTCCATTCAGCAATAAAATTAATGATTTCATAAAATGAGATATAAATATAGAAGTAACAGTTTACTTACATGAATTGAAAAATAATGATTGCCCCAAGAAAAGGAAGGACACGCGTGAGCGCATACACACACACACACACACACACACACACACACACACTCAGGGACCTACTTCATGGGCTAGATACACCAAACAGCCAAATTGGTTGCCAAATTGACTTTAAGGCAGAATGTCTATCTCAATATTTCTAAAAGTGTTTTGAAAAAAGCATTAATAAGAGATTAATAGCTAATACTTGAAAAAAAATAGATGAGGAAATCAAATAAGTTTGCATTAAACACAGGTAAATTTTTTTTTTAACTGCAGGATTCCTTGGGGATTTTAATACTCTAATGAGCTCTGTCAATCTTCAAGGAGGAACCATAGTGTGCAGTGTTTCCCATGTGAATTTGACCACAGATTCCTTTCAACAGGCAAGACTTGGCCAGACAGTGTCTCCTGGACAATACTGATTTACTTAAATTTTATTTTCAGAATTAATATTTTCACTAATTTTTACTAATTCATAAAGTAAGCTATTATATTGAGAGTACATTTGTAATGCATATAGTACATTTCTCATGCACTGGAATTGCACATTCCTTGAAATACAGCTAAAATTTAAATTATCATCGAAAAAATAGTCATTTAATTTCTATCTCTCCTGACGTTAATCAAGGCTATGAATCCAATTCTTTTCCTCTGTCATTTTATAGAACTTTTACCTTTAACAGTGGAATTGCAGAGGATACAAATTTGTTTCCTAGAGAGGTGCAAAATGAAACACATGCTTACCTCTAGTTGATATAAATGTTATCGTGTAGATATAGCTCTGGGGATTCTGTGTTCTTGTTACTTGAACTGTATCTGGTTTTATAGACCAAAGGTCATTTAAGGCTGATTGTAGTAGGAAGTCAGAAGCATCAGCAGGCAGCAAGACTTTTGGATTAATTTAAAAAAAGAAAAAACAAAAATAAAAAAGTTGAATCTTTCTGGACCTACCACAGCCAACACTGATGGTTTGTATTTAAATTTTTTAAGCACCCATACTTTTTACTAAGTTATCACTTAGAGAAATTATGTTCTGAAATGGATTCAAGTTCAATAACTTTGACTATTTAATTGATTTGATCTCTTTAAAGACAGGGCTCATATTCTATTGTTTTAATATTACCATAGTATCAAGCATTGTATTTGGCAAAAAGTAAGCATGTATCAATATTGACTGATTAAAACAACAGAAATAGCAAAAATTATTTCTCAGAATTTATTATAAAATTTAGAAATGCAATGTTTATTAACTGATAAATTTGATCATAGATCTATCGCTTAGAGAAATTGAAAGACACATTTACTTCTCTGCAATGATGAATTTAATTCTTGTTTTCTTAACTTACGCCTGTAAGTCACAGGTATAAGTTAAATGCACAATCTTTATATGTATTTACATATATATTTACATTTACATATACAATGTATTTGTATTTGTACAATGTATTTGTAAATGTATTTATATTTACATATACATTTACAATTACTCTTATAATAGAAAATAATGGTATGTGCCAGAAAGTTCTTTGTATTGATGCCATTTTCTATGCCAGTCTGAAGGCTTTTCTTCATAATATATTTTTCTGCTTTTTTGTCTACCATATTATTAAAACTATATTTTCCAGACAGTAGAATTTGGCTAGAACAAATACTTCATGGCTACATCTACACATGAAGAGAAATAATATCTCCCTTATTATTTATAACTTACCAGTTTTTTCCACATTATAGATTAATCTGTATTGATAAAGTGAACATGAATTAGCTTCCACACATGGGCTGGTTATCTTGATCTTCTGAACTTCATTAATTGCATTAGTTGTTTCCCAGTTTTCCAATGTTATAACCTATTTTCCAATTTAAAAAGTCTTTAATATATGAAAAATACATTTTAAAACCCTAATAATTCAGCTATTCGATGCCTCTTTATTGCTCTATGATAATGATAAAATGATATTTTAATATATTTAAAAATTTATCTTATCAAGTAACAGCCTTTTTGGTTTATAATACAGATTCTCAAAGCCACAATTCAATAATAGTCCATGACCCCGTTCCACCAAAACAGTATCTTACTTAGTAAAATTAATAACCAAATAGAGCTCCTATGTTTGGACATTTACTTTCCATAAAGTGGATCTACTATCATAGCAAACCTGCACTTCCTGGATGATCGTTGACTGGGATTTGATAACTTGTTCTTCATTTATGGCATCTCCTGTTTGTTGTTCAGTATAAACAGTTCTATACTGATACAGTCCAACATCAACAAAAGCACTCAATCTATACTCTTGCAGCAAGATTTCAACATAATACCTGGAAAATAGAGTAACTAATGAATGTAACTTTTTTCCCACAACACTTATCATGAAATTTTTTCAATGAATAAAATATAAACATTATCTAAAAAGCCTACCCATTAAATGATTTATATTGTAGTATCTTTGATTTAAAATATTAAAAGTTTCATAGTTAGCTGTTTGCTAACATAAAATGAATTATGGAAGATATCTGTTTTAGTAGAGAGTTGTTCTCATTCATGACCTTGTCTAACTGTATTCAGGATAAGATATTCACTGACCAGCTGTTACAGGTGAGTGCAGTACTATTGCTTCCCCACCTAAATCTTTAGCAATGTTACCATCACTCCCAGCTTAGAAGAGGCCACCTAGAAGTTTCTCTAAATTGTCTCACATCACCCAATAGATATTCTTGTATATGAAGAATAAGTATCCACAGTTCATGGAAGACTATGAATGAGGGAAATGTGTCATCTCTCTTATGTCTAGGATGGTGGGGCTTTGCATAGTCCCCCCATAGAACAGATATTGGAGGATAATATGAGGCTCTTGGCTGCCCTAAGAACCTGTTCACCAGCTCTGCTGAATTGAGGCAGCCAACACTAATTGAGGAGCAGAACTCAAAGAAGAACCATTAAATTTTACATCTTTACTTGTAACTTAAAAATATTAATTAGGTACTGTGTGCTAGTCACTAAGCACCTCACAGACATCATTTTATTTGATCTTCATAAAAGCCCCAGAAAATAGATACTATTATTCTCTTTCTCCATGTGAATAGCATATACTAAGAGAATTTTAAGAATTTAAAATTTTTTAAAAAATTAGTAACTAAGGTAAGATTCAAAACAGAATAAGGTGAACAAAAAGACATGCACTAGATGAAACTATACTATTTTAGTAGAATGAACAGACAATATGAACTCTTAATACATTTGGAACAGCTTTAAGAATCACCGTGCAATAAACTACCTAGAGTGGCCTCAGTTTAAGAATTTATAGGCATCAGTGTAAGTACAGTGTGTAAATTTCAAGTTGGTTTTGCAGGAGCACAGACACCAGGCAGCAGATGTATTAGCAGCTGTTTTTATTCAAGCTGTATGTGTCTGCCAAGCAGATAGACTAAACTCATTTTCAAAGACCAAGCCAAAGTCTAAAGATGTACTGACACTTAATTGCAGTAGGGATTAATTAGGTACTCCACTTTTCCTGAGCTGGCCCAGTAGTGATCATGGTTAAAAAAGAAAATGTTTCATTATATCAAGAGGTGGAAGTATAAGGAGGAGGAAAAACAAAACAATAAAATGCCTTTGTCCTGTCACTGCTACTAAGACTTCAGTAAGAATATTAAGTGTGATTGCTCCTGGCTTCCATTGATCCCAACCCTCTCTGTTCAATTCCACCAGATCTTCATGATGACCTCTGAGCATAATCTCATTAATATCTGGAAGGGTGGAGTAGTAGGTTAAAAAAAAACTCCTCCCATCAAGAAGCGAAGTCTAGGCCGGGCACAGTGGCTCACACCTGTAATCCTAGCACTCTGGGAGGCCGAGGTGGGCGGATTGTTTGAGCTCAGGAGTTCGAGACCAGCCTGAGCAAGAGCAAGACACCGTCTCTACTAAAAATAGAAATAAATTAATTGGACTACTAAAAATATATAGAAAAAATTAGCCGGACATGGTGGCGCATGCCTGTAGTCCCAGCTACTGGGGAGGCTGAGGCAGAAGGATCACTTCAGCCCAGGAGTCTGAGGTTGCTGTGAGCTAGGCTGACGCCACGGCACTCTAGCCAGGGCAACAGAGTGAGACTCTGTCTCAAAAAAAAAAAAAAAAAAGAAGTGAAATCTATTCACCTCTGAATATAGGCTTGGCCATTTGCTTTGTGCAATGGGATATTAGCAAATGTGACACTAGCAGAGTATTGAAAAGTGTGTGCGCATTGGGAATTCCCCTCTTTACTGCTGGGGACACATCCACCAATGTGACAAGCCTGGGCTAGCCTCCTGGAAGATGAGGGACCATGTGAAATGGGCTGCCCCAGATATCTAAGTCCCAACCATGCCAGCTGAGGCTCTAGATACATAAGACCTTTCTAGACCATCAATTTCCAACTAAACTAGCCAGGACAAAACAACTGCCCAGCCAACCATAAAACTAGGTGAAATAATAGACATTCGTTGTCTGAAGCTACTAAAGTCTGGAGTGGTTTGTTATGTAGTAAAACCTAACAGATACAAATGATAAATGGTGTATGATCTCAATGCCTCCTTTGATATTCTCCATATAACTTCATTTCTCCATGTGCTCTATTTTGACTGTATCATGCCTTTTATTTTCCTGTTTTCTAAGAATCCTGAATGGCTTTTTGAATGGGATTATCTGCTATTTGGATGATACCCTCATATAGTTTCTGGATTTGATCTTTCAACACTAAATAATGTGCTCCTTAAAGGCAGGGAGTGTATTTTAATATCCTTTGTATTAAATTTCCAATACCTGGCCCAGGGCCTGGAATAAATCAGTAAATAATAAATATATATTAACAATGGTACCAATCCTTCTGATTTTGTGATTTTTCTCTAGTACTATTCAAGAGCTCAGCTGTAGGAACAGAGAAATTAGATAGGTGGATTGATTGAAAGTTCTTGTGAAGAACTAAAACCAGGATTAAATAAATGTCACAAAATTATAATTTCTGCAACAGAATTAATTTAGATTTCAAATTCCCTGGTTGGCTGAATGCCAGCATTCTTGAAAATGTAGACAAAAATTTAATAAAATTATAGAGAAGTACCAATTACAAATTAAGCCAATAAACCAATATCACTTCTACCAATAAAAATGAATTGAAACTATTTTTAAATATAGACTTACAGTTTTTAAATAGCACACAATAATTTAAAGACAAGGGAAAAAAAAAACCTTACTCTTTTCCTTTCTGAAGATGAATGCCATCCGATCTTTGTGTTGGACTAGAAAAATAACTGTTGGCATTGGCAGAATGATATGCAATCCTCACCTAATCTCAGAAAGACAGATGGGGGGATTTATTAATGAATATTTTCCAAGTTTATTTATTTATCATTTATTATTTCTGTCAATCTTAGAAATCTTATGAATAGGAAAGTGTGAAACTACTTCATATTGTTCTTTTAAGATCTGTTGTCCACAATGCAATAAAACTTTTAAAACTTATCAGAGCTCACCTTATTCCTTCCACCCATTGCTAACAGCAACATCACTGTACCAAGTATGCTATTAATATACAGTCATAGTGTTTCCATTATTAGAATTGAAGTAGAAAATAAAAAGATACATACTGGCAGGAACGTTGTTATTGTTAAATAAAATAGCCTTCTGTTCTGTAGAGAACTTTGAGGGGTTTAATCCAACTTAGGTCATTAGAGATAGCCCTGAAAGATGCCAAAGATTGCTAAATGGTTCTGTATAATAGAGTGAGAGGAATTTGGGCTTCCAATTAGGAATGACTATACCATCTTTGGAGTCAGCATACTGACAAGCTCTGATAAAAATTAGAATTCATAAATTACAGGTAGCAATTAAACTTGTGCAATCAGTTTGGGAAGAAATCTTGCCATATAAATTGAGTCATAAAATGTCATTTTGATTTGATCTATTAGTTTCACATTTGTGAAATTGTCCTAAGGAAATAATCCAAAATACAGAAAAATCTAATGAACACAGAGGTCCAATAGAGTATTATTTGTGGTCATAAAAAATCAGAAGTAAGTTAAAAAACATCAGTAGGGAGCTAGTTATCTAAGCTTCGTACAACCACAGAATAACATACTATTAAAATTTGTATTAAAATTTGCAAATATGTAAATTACTTAATAAACAGTATTTTATACCAATATGTGACAAAAGATGAATATAAAATTGAATGTATTATTCTATTTATATAACAACCAAAATAGAGATATAAGGAAATCACTTTTATCTCATGACCAAGTAAATGTAGAATAGTGAAATATTTTCATTCTTTTTCAAATTTCCTATGTTGTGATTATAATTCTTTCATAATAAAAACCTTCAATTCTAAAGGAAATGTATGTGTTTTTCCCTTGGTAGAAAAAATTTAGATATGGGAAATAATTTTCTTGTATGCTATGGGTTTTCTAAGACTACTTTATAGTGTATATCACATATGTTAAAATAGCCAAACACCAAACCAGATGAAATCATTTCTCATGCATTTTTGATATAGTTATTGGTTTTGATTTAGAGTAAGTGAGATAAATATAAAGATCACCAAATTGTTTTTAAAATATCAAATATTATTCTGCAGCTTCCCTACCTTATCTTCTGGAAGTCCAGTCTGGCTGAAATAAAGAGCGTAACGGTCATCGCCTTTGATATAGAATATATAAACATCAGATTCTGGAACCACCAAAAATCCACTGAAGCGTGCGACAAATGTGTCTTGTTCCATGGGCCAACTATAGGAAGCAGAATCTACCCAACTGGCACCCATGTACCCTGGTGTTTTTTCATTGTATTCAAGTATTTCTTCAAGATGTACTGGCCGGCTATTATTCCATACCTCAAGCTTCAAGCCTCTGCCACCTAAAACGTAATAAAATAAAAGAAGGCTTCCATCAGAATCATGATGTGATGTCTCAATGGCCTTCTATTTGCATGGTGGTTTTAGATGCTCTATTTCAATTCACATTTTTAGATTATGTATGCAGACAAAACAATTATACATTCTCCTATATGTACCTGTACCCAGAGGACAGTTTACAATTTATTTGTTATTGCTTTACTGCTCTGAGCGTCAGTTTACACATATGTAAACTGGGAGTGATAATGCTATTTGCATGGTTGCTATTGTACCTACACTTGCCACTGTAAATCTGTGATTAAGTTTTTTCCTAATCAGAAAAGAGCTGTCTCTCTATTTTTCCTTTTTATTCCTTAAAATGCAACAACAATTAGACTCATGCCTTCCTCCAGCAGCTTTAAGCTTGTCTGGATTTGTAAAATAACAGCTACTCCCTTTCAGCTGAATGGTTGGAGAAAAGCTCGAGCACGTCAACCTTTTCAGCAGCAGTGTTCTTTGATATATACAACTTTCTTTAGAGTCATCAATTATAAATATCAAAACTGTTTTCGTAAATTGGACATTTTTTCTAATATCTTTCAAAACAAAAACATTTAGGAAGTTGGTAAATAGAATTTATTTGGCTTCAAATATCACCTAATGACAAAATTATTAACATAAACAGATTTCACTGTGTGCACAAGATATGAGATACACACCACATTCAAACACATGTGCAGCATTTCAATGGTATTAGTGTAGATTTGAAGGCTATCAGCTGCAATTTTGCCAGGCCACAGGGCGAAGGTCTAAAAGGAATTTTGAGTTATGTTTCTTTCCTCTCCTGTTTTTACTCCTAAATCATTCTAGACAACCAAGGATTTAACCTCCCCCATTTATTTTTTCAACAGGAAAAGGCATTTAAAAAATTTCTATGTTGCCTTTGCCAAGATTTAGTAATCACAATTTATTAATAATGTGAAATAAAAGCATCATTACACTCTATCACTAGAGATGTGCTGTTTTCAGTAGTGCATCTGAAGAATTTAAACCAAGTTTATCTCTGCTGGTGCAGCTTTGATGCAGCTATTTTAATACAAATATTTTCTAAGCCAGAAAATGTAAATTTAAAAACTTGGAGAAAATTTATTATAATTCTCATCACAAATTCTAAAATGTTCAAATAATATTTTTTACTAATGATCTATAACAATAATATTCTTTTGATGCAAATATAGAAATGGCCATTCTCCCTTATAGTAACATACCTGGATAGACAGTTTTGAGAATATGAGGTTTGGGGGGTGTCTTGCAACGTATACTATTTTCTGTGACATTCAAAATATCACAAGCTTGACCTGGGAGAGGCAAGATGCAGCACCGTTACGATTCAAGCTTCAGAGTGCAAATCACATCAGCCTATTTTTATGTACTTTTTCAATTAAAACAAAGTTGCATAAGCAAGGAGCAAAACTGGGGCTCTTTATTTCCTTTACATATTCTCCATTCAAGCTTAACACTCATTAATTGTCATACTTCCCACAAGGCAACATTTTTCTGAGATAAAAAATTTCACAATTTCAGAGATAAAAACTTGCTAAAACTATGTCTTTGTAAAAGATGTTACTTCCAGGTCCAAAATGAAGACTTATAATTTGTTCCTCAGAGCAAGTTGCTGAATAAACCCACGATGTTCAGAATTTGCAAAGGTAGATGATCCCAGCCCTTTTAGGTAGGAAAAATGGTATTTTAGTCCAAGTGCTTCAAATGAAAACAAAAGGAATAACAATTGTTAAATGGCATTTTCACAGGCAGACCGAGACCAAAACAGACAAGGGCCTAAAAGAGAATAAATATAACTTCTACATAAGCACAATTAGACTTGGGAGAAGAGTCTATGTTTTAGACCACCATGTGTCCCTCGCAGCACCTCATATACCGTCAGCCCTCGGTAAATATTTACTGAAATGGCAATTGCAGCCCACAAAATGTGAGGATGATGGAAACGGAGGGAGATATCTTTGTTAAGTTTCGGTTGGTGGCCTGGAAAATTTAAACTTTTACACTACCTTTTACTGCCTTGTGGATGCAAGAAAATTGAACTAAAAAAGAGTGAATATGAACAGTATATTAAACCAACAGCCCATTTGATTAAAAGCAAAAGAAAAATACATACACGAATCATTATTTTCAAGAAATTATTGAGGATTCAACATCTTGAATCTGGTTGCCACATTAATGGCAATGAGATACGATAGAAAACTTAAATGCACTTTTTGCATATCAACTGAATCATGGTCAAAATAAACATAATATCAGATCATAAGACACATTATATCAGCCAGAAGTGCTTTATGTTCCTGGTTTTATTATTTTAAACATAAAATTTGAACAGAAAAATACATTATATAAATTTTAAAATTTTATAGCCCAGGTTTTAATATTTAGACAGGTGACCAGCAAGGATTCGTGGGGACAGGAAAGACTGTATTAATGTTAGATGAGATTGCTTTATATCCATTTTTCTTCTCTTCTGAAATCACATTTTGGCTGGCTTATGAGCAGATTCCTTAAAAGGTGGAAAGTACCCAAGCAAAAGGGCTGTAGCAGAAATGTATGTGCCAGTTGCACAGGCAGGCATCCTGTCCCCTGCCTATCAAGGGAAGTGATGTCATTATGACTGAGTGAGAAGAGTCCCACTCTTACCTTCATCCTAAGCTTGGTTTTGAGCTGTATAGCTCCCTGTCTCTCAGATCTAGACCACATGCATAGAAGCAATGCACAACCAGAGAAACAAGCCCTATGTGTGTTTGTAAACAAATAACGCATTAATTAGTGCTCTTTCCAAGGCCAATATCACTAGTAATTACTTGATGTGCAGATAAGGCACAGCATATGAGAAGAGTATGAGGAGAGTATACCAAAATACTACTTTAAATTTTCTTATAATTAGCTAACTCATTGAGAAATAACAATCATTCAAAAAGGACATTTAAGAGCTTATTAAATAGAGAATAGGTGTGCCCTTAAACTGTGGTGAGGAATGTGTGGATGGCGGCCACAATGCTTCACAATGCCAACCCCAGAGCTCAAGTCCAGGTCACCTAAAGCTGAAAGGAGTGGCCCTCACTGGAAAATTGCAGTGGGAAGAACATCAAGCCCCAGAATCAAAAGCCTATGTGAAAATACTGGCTTTAAGTTTAAGACATTAATTGAGAAAAGATTATTATTACTCTTACAAATTATTAAAGAACAGGCAGGATTTGTTCTTATAAAGTAATATATTAAAATCATGAAAAATACCTCCCACTAGAACTTTGGCTGGGAAATCTGTCTGATCAAAGAACTGCCCACTTATTGTTAGTACGGTGCCACCTCGAATGCTTCCTTGTGAAGGTGAAATTGTAGTGACCTCTGGGGGGGAAACACATTAAACAAAATGTCATGAATATTACACATTAACTCAAATGTTCACTTATTTAAAATATTCAAAATTACCTAGCCATAGCCTCTAACACTGTGTAGGTAGTGGATTACCAAATGAATGAATTAGGTGTTTCATTATTTTGTCTCTGGTACAGTCCCGTAAAGAGGACAATAAACATGGCATTCACAGAGACCTACATTCCATGGGGACTAGAATTTAATGGTGACTAGTACTAAAAATGTATTGGTAACAGGAGGATCAAGGAAGTAAGGAAAACCTGAGCTGAGCACAAATGTTTAGTTTCAAAAGAAAGCACAGGAAGTCAGGCAGAACCATCTCTCCTTCCATGTGCTTTAAAAGAATGAATCTTTCCTATGTTTGTGGGCCTACATCTTATATTTAAATTTTCTCATATAGTAATACATTTAGCTATTATTGGTCTTCTTATGGCTTTGTCTATAAAAGTTTTAGGTATATTGGTAAAATAACCCAGTACACGACATATGGCAGATTTTTACTAAAATGTATTCTTATTAATTCTATCAGAGTTCTATATATGCATTCTTACATATGAATTTTGCATTAAATAAATTTCTAGAACAAAACAAGGTGTATCACATTTGATTGAGCCCAAGACACACATTTTTTTCAAATTTTAACATCTTTGAAACCTGAATGTGTCTATCCATCACTCCTGACCTGGAATGAAATATGATTCTTCCAGAAGGATTTGTGTTTGCTCTGATACTCTCCTAGGAATACTATCACCTGAGACTGATTTAAATTAAATAATTTAATTTAATTAAATTATAAGCTGCTGGAGGATTATTTTGGACCACATTGAAAGCATAAGTCTGAGAGAGTACAGATGGTCCCCAATTGACAATGGTTCGAGTTTGGATTTTTTTTACTTTAAAATGGTACAAAAGAAATACAAATTCAGTAGAAACCACACAGAACTTGGAATTTTGGATGTTTATCTGTTCCTGGGCTATCAATATGAGGTAGATACACTTTTATGATGTTGAGCAGGCAGAGAGCTCAAGCTCCCATCCAGCCAATCATGAGAGTAAACAATGAATACAGTGCACTGCGTTGCCAGATAATTTTGCCCAACCATAGGTTAATGTGAGTGTTCTGAGCACATTTAAGGTAGATAAGGCTAAGCTATGATATTTGGTAGGTGTATTAAATGCATTTTTGACTTAAGGATATTTTCAACTTAAGATGAGTTGACCAATAGCCAAAGTTGAGACATGCAAATTTCCCTGCTCTCTTTGTCAGTGTGATAAGTTTGTTTTTTAATGAATCTTATTCTAAGAATGTCATTGGTGGGGGGAGGGCCCCAGCTAATGTTGGGGCTTCCTGTTACACTCCCCATCTTAACTATTTTTGCTTTCATAGCAGTACATAAAAAATGATTTGATGAAATGAAGTATACACCACCTTCACCCCACATACACACACAGTGAGAGAAATGTCACATACCTGCATATGTTTGAAACATTGAAATTTTATTGAGAGAAGAAACAAAATATGCCATTCTCTGTGGGAGACTCCTATTTTAAGAAAAAATAAAATTTCCAGCTTTAAAAATGACCTTTATTTGGGGAATTTTTTTTTTAACTTTAGTTATAGAAATGACATCACAACTTGCAAAGGAGCAAGATGGAACTTTTGGAGGAAGATAAAAATGTTCTATATTTTGATTTAGTTGTTGGTTACACATGCATATACATTTGTTAGAACTTAATGAATTGCACACTTACGTTCATTTTATTGTATGCAAAATATGCCTCAATAAAGTTGATTTTAAGAAATTCTGTTTGTATTTAAAAAACAGACAGGAGGACTACCCTTCATAAAGGCTGGGCGCTTCTGCTGAGCACCCCTTTCTGTCTTTCTTAGAACCTATTTAGATTCTAAGAGAAGGTATTATGTTAAGAACCTTCAATTTATTATGCCATTTGATCTTTACATCAACCACATGAGGTAGGTGAAATTCAGAGAATTAACTTACTCAAGATCATAAAACAAGTAAGAAGGAGAAACAGAACTGGAACCCAGGCAGTTTGGGTCCAAAGCCCAACCTGTACACTCACTACACAGTACTACTCCTCTGCTTACTAACTCCTGTGAGAGTACAGGGGGATGGTAGCAAATTAACAACAACCCGCCAGGTTTAAATCATCCTTAATAAACATAGAGCCTGTTCATATCTTTTTGTAGATAACACATTTGCATTTCCATAACCTGGAGAATTAGGGAGGGAAATAATCCTAGAAATTAAATGATGCTTCCTTAATTACCTCAAAGAAATTCACAATTACAAAAATTAAGAAATTCAATATTAAGACTCAAAACCCATATATCATAATTATAATACATTGGACTAGAATCTAAAAGGATAATGCAAATCTTGTAGTTGAGACCAACAATGAACTTTCCTGTAAATCTAACCCAGGCATTACTTACAATGTGCACTTGTAAGACTAAAGAGTTTCTGAAATATTTTATGCTAAATTAGTTCTTTAATAAGTTCATACTGGATTTTATATTTTGATGTCATAAGCCTTTCACTTGATTTCCCAAAGATCTGAAACCAGGCTAGTTCTGACAATATTGTGTCTGGTCAGATTCCACATCTCAAAAATTAACTCTGCTTCTTAAATTGGTAGGAAAATTGCCTCCTGAAATAAAATTTGAATGTAATTATATTTTGGATGGCACTGAGGTTATTTTCACTAATTCATTGATAATGACGAGGCATTTCTCAATTAAGGCAGCTTCATCTGAACCTTATCAGTTTGGAACAGCTGTTGTCCGAACTTGGGGTAATAGAGGAGAGAAGGTTGACTATTAAAAGAAATACAGAGTATGTGCCACAGCGGTCTTTAATTGGTTCATTTGATATTCAGCAATGCTCCTGAAATTTCTAAAATATAAATTTTATAATCTATAAAATGATTTAACATTTTAAAATGCCAACTAATCTTAAAACCAGGCTTTCAAATAGTAAATGTCATATTTCTAAGAGTTATCTTAAATTTGTAAGACTATTTCACATAGAAATGCAATTTCCTCGATTCTGAGACATTAATACAAAAGGAAAACCATTGGCTTAAAAAAGAGAAAAAAGGAATTATAAATCAAGATCACAAAACCAACAATTTAATGCAACATTTTTGCCTATATAATCTGTGAATTTGTTGGCATTTTTAAATTGGAAGTTTCCGGGTATGTTAATGTAGCAGATTGATTTATGTACACTTATCAATCACATTCAACCTTGATCACTCAAACCGTCTATTTTTGGATAATTATTTCTCTGAGAGACATATGATGGATTTAGCAATTAACACCTTTCATATAGACTCAGAACTAAGAATCCATTTTTTTCACCTTAGGAAGCGTATTACTATGAGTTTAAAAGAAGCTATATAGTTAAGGAAATTATTTAAAACTCAATAATTGTTGTTTCTAACATGGTTTTCTAATCTGTTCAATAAAATTCTATTGTCCTATCTTTGTGTGTGTGTGTGTGTGTGTGTGTTTCTAATATCCAGCTGTATCCCACAGATTTTGATAGCTTATGTCCCCATTATCATTTAATTCAAAGAATTTTTTGATCTCCATCTGAATCTCTTCTTTCACCCATCAGTCATTTAGCAATAGATTGTTTAATTATCATGACTTTGTGAAGTGGGGAGTGTTTCTGTTGGAATTGATCTCTAGTTTTATATCAGTATGGTCTGAGAAGATACATGGTACAATTTCTATTTTTTTAAATTTGTTGAGGTCTGATTTGTGGCCTAGGATGTGGTTGATTTTGGAGAAAGTTCCATGAGCTGATGAGAAGAATGTATATTCGGCTTTATTTGGGTGGAATGTTCTGTAGATGTCTGTGAGACCCATTTGTTATAGAGCTCTGTTTAAGTCCATTATTTGTTTGCTTAGTTTTTGTTTGGAGGATTTGTCCATTTCAGACAGTGGGGTGTTGAAATCCTCCACTATTATGGTATTACTGTTTATCATGCTATTTAGTTCATACAAGGTTTGCTTTATATATCTGGGAGCTCCTGTGTTGGGTGCATATATATTAAGAATTGTTAAGTCTTCTTGTTGGATTTTTCCCTTTACCATTACATAGTGACCATCTTTGTCTTTCTTTACTTTTGCTATTTTAAAATTTATGCTGACTGAAATCAGCATAAATCGCTACCCCCACTCTCTTTTGGTTTCCATTTGCCTGAAAGTTTGTTTTCCAACCCTTGACCTTGAGTCTGAAAGTGTCTTTGTGGGTTAGATGCATTTCCTGGAGACAGCAGATACTTGGCTTATAATGTTTTATCCACTCAGCCAGTCTATGTCTCTTCAAAGGACAATTCAAGCCATTCACATTTATTGAGAGGATTGATATTTGGGGTAGATTTCTGTTCATCTTGTTGGGTAAGTTCTTATTGTTTTGTTTTACCTCTTGAGACATTGTGGAATCTGGGTTCTGAGCTTTAACTCTTGAGAGTTTTTAATTTGGTGGGTGTCTATTGTGTTGTTCAGTGTGTAATGCAGGTCTGAGTACTTCTTGCAGAGCAGGTCTGGTCTTCACAAATTCCATCAGTGATCACTTGTCTGGGACAGTCTTTATTTCTTCCTTGTAGATGAAGCTCAGTTTTGCCAGGTAAAGAATTCTAGGTTGGCCATTGTTCTGTTTAAGAAGATTGAGAATAGGTCCCCAGTCCCTTCTGGCTTGTAGGGTTTCATTTGAGAAGTCAGCAGTTAGTCTGATAGGTTTTCTTTTGTAAGTTATCTGTTGTTTTTGTCTTATTGTGCGAAGGATTTCCTCTTTCATATTTACTTTGGCCAGTCTGATAATTATGTGATGTGGTGTTTGCCTCTTCACGTTGACTCTCCCAGGAGTTCTGTGTGCTTCTTTTATCTGGATATCTAGGTTTCTGGCCAGGCCAGGAATATTTTCATCCAGTATTCCAAGCAATAGACTTTCCAGCCCTTGTGTATTTTCTTCTTCTCTCTCCAGGATGCCTATAATTCTTATATTTGGTTTCTTTACATAATCCCACATTTCTTGTATGTTCTGCTCTTGTCTCTTGCTTCTGTGTTCTTTGTCTTCATCTGATTTGTTTAGCACATAGGCATTATCTTCAAGCTCCGAGATTCTCTCCTCTGCGTGATCCATTCTAAAGGCTTTCCACTGTGTTTTGAAGTTCCTTGAATGCCTCCTTCATTACCAAGATTTTTTTTTGTTTTTTTCATAATATTCCAATTTCTTTAGAGAATTTTTCATTCATTTCCTGTATTGTTCTCATGGTTTCTTTGTATTGGGTTTCTATTTTCTCTTCAATTCCATTGAGTTTCCTTACAATCCATATTCAGAATTCTTCCTCCATTAATTTAATCATTTCATTTAAATTAATATTTGATTTTGAGGTTCTCATGATTTCTTTTGGGGATGATTTTTCTCTCTGCTCTTTCATATATATTCCCTGTGTTCTTTCTCTGGTTCTTTGCCATCAGGGTAATTGAGAACTGGGTGTGCTAGGACTGGTTTGGGGCCCATATCTTCAAGCCTCCAAGGGATGTTCCTTAACAGTGGTGGGAGGAAGCACACTGGTCTTGTATTACCTTAGAGGTATTTTGGCAAGTTGGGTTACCTCTAACCTGTTGTCTTCACCTCTTGCCAGTGGAGATTAGTGAGTTTGGTCCCCCCGCTTAAGCTCCCATGTGGTGAATCGCACCTGTGTGTCTAACTCCACTGCTCTCTAATAGCTTGAGATGGGGGGCGCTATGTTGAGCTATGGGGTTACCCTCTCTGTCACTGGTCATAGATTGTAGCAGCCAGTTATCAAGGTAATCTGATGCCTCTGTGTTGGTTTCTGGTCCCCGGGTTAGGAATACTAGTGCCCCTATCTTTAGAAAGGATCTTGCCACTCCTGAAGGTTCCTTGGACCCTATTTTCCCTTAAAATGGTGGTAGGAGCAAGGCAGATCGCATTTGCTGCCTACCAGCCTGGATGTGTGTGCTTCTATGGTTGCTCCATCTGCCGCTAGGGGGAACCGCTAATATGTTATTCAGGGTTCTTCCACCAGTCTTGGAAGGCTGCTCCTGATGGGAGGGGTTACTTGGGGAGCCTGTTTTGGGCTCTTGCCAGAACTTTTGTCTGACCAGCAAAGTCACTGGGCTGTCAACTATTGATCTGCGCCAAGGCCCTGCAGATTTACGCCAGTCTCACAGGGAAAGTGGCTTTTCTTGCCTCTCCCTACCTCCAGTGGGGGGAGCCTTCCACTTTTGGCATGAAAGTCACTGTGTTAGGGGGAGGGGTAATGTCTGAGTCCACCCGCCCGGCGTCCCAGCGCCTGTGAATCCTGCAGGTGTTAGCCTCCCACAACTGGGGAAGTATTCAAAATTCGCCCATCGAAATGGGCCCAGCTAGTTGACAATTGGTCACGGAAGGGTGGAGGCTTTTGCAAGAGTCCCCAGGCTGTAGGAAGGGCGCTGCCTGAAACTGTGGTTCACCGCACCGTCTGGGTTGTGGAGCCCCAAAACGGCGGATGCCCACGCGCAGAGCGCTAGCGCTTATGGCGACTGTTCGGGAGCCGGCAGATACTGGATTGGGGAGCTGAATCAATAGGACGCCCCATTTGTTGTCTGTTGTGTGTCACCCTCCCACAATCTCGTGCCTGTCTGGCAGGAGGTCTTGCACTTTCTGACCCACCCTGAGCCAGCCTAATCGCCCGCAGCGGTTTCCAGGGTAGAGTCCCCTTTTCAGTGTTCACCTCCATTGTTCTGGTCCAGCTGACTGCCAGAGGCAAGGTTCCTGCCTCCTAACTCCCTCCAGGGGTCGCTCAGACCAGTCCCTTCCCTGCCCAGTGCAGTTCTAGCACAGAGCCCCGGCGAGTTCAGGATGCTTCCCGCTATTGCCTCCTCTCCACAGAGCCCAATGTCTCCTGCCAGGATTTTGGGCCAACTTCAGGCAGGTCCCTGTCTGAGTGGGTGTGGAGGTCAGTGGAGAAATCAGGATGCTCTCCTGTGGGTCAGATCTCACTGCACTTGCCGGCCAGGCGGGCACAGCCATCCCACGCTCTATTCTCTGTTGTTTATCTCACACTCTCTAGACTTCCCGATCCTATCTCCCATTCACCTTTTTTTTTTCCTGTGTTGTGTGTCCCACGCTGTTTCTCTGCAGTTTCACAATGCTGTTCTTGCGGAGGAGTGATCCACTCGTCCGTGGCAGACCGAGTTCTTTGCCTCCTTCTCTGGGAGCAGGGAGCCAGGAGGTCATCTTTACTCCGTCATTTTTCCTCCCCCCTATTGTCCTATCATCAAGTTATACGTAAGTAGGTCATATTCTTGCAGAGAGTAATTGGTAAGTCATGGGACTCTTAAGTCATTTGCTCCATGTAAATCACATATCTTCCGTTTACATATCTTCCACTCTGATTTGCTTGTGAATTGTACTATTCTTTATGGTTTTGGTCTAGTCTGTATTTGTCTGTAATAGTGTGCATCCCAGGCATCACTTTGTTATAAAACTATTGCCTCTAGTTGTCTGGAAGTAGACGATCTCTAAATACAATGATAGTGCATTTGGTCTCACTACTCCAGTTGCAGTTCCATGCATGGAGGAACCACATCTCATTCTTCTCTTATAGTCTGTGAGTACTGACCAGGAATGACATCTACTTTGATTGTAGTATTGCCGTTGTTTTCAAACTTCTGATCATTGAGTCTCTCTTCAGAGACAAAAAAGAAATTAACAGATCTATCTACTGTTATCTACTATAGCTATATATACATTAGTATTGTTAATAGATGCTAAATAATGTAATTTATTTGTATTTTTGTCTACTGGCTCATTTTCTCAATGGGAGATGCTATGACATTTTGGGCAGAACAATTCATTTAGGCTTGGCACATCATAGTTCTGCCCACTAAAGGCCACTAACATACCCCGTTATTGTGACAGCCAAGAAATTCCTCCACACATTTGCAAATGCTCCCAAGAACGGGGAAATCTGCCATGGTAGAGAATCTGGAACAGGATGTTAAGTAGTGATGCGATGTGGTACTGGTGGCTGAAGCCCCCCAGCAGTCATGGCAGAGCCCTGGAATGAAATGCTGAGGTACTGGAGTTAGACAGCATGGATTTCTTACGAGCTGATTATCCTTGGGCAAATTATTTAACCTTCCTGAGTCTCGTTTTCCCAGTGGGTAACAGGGGGTAGATGATAGTACTCAATTTATCTTTGGGAGGATTAAACTAGATAATGTATGTAAAGTGCTTAACACCGTGCTTGCCACTAAATGTACGCTGTTATTATCATAATATGAGGTTTGCAACATGTGTTGAGGTTTGCATATTCTGATATTTCCAGAAAAATATGTTTTTTCTTACTGAAATCAGGATATAGAACAGCTGGAAATGAATTCTAGTTTTATTGAAAGTCATAAATATGAGTTATTAACATTGGTATTAAGATGCACAATTGAAAGGTATAACTACCATCTTTCACAACTCTCCATAAATTGAAATAAAACCTTTATCTGGTAGTATCAACCATGAGGTTTTATTTATTCTTAACATTAGTTCAAGTCAAAATTGAATTACTTTAGTTATCAAGAAATTATAATTATATCAGAAGAGGTACAAGACATAAAATAACACATTTTCATATCACAATCAATGATTTTTTAAATTTGTTGTTTTAGTTAATGCTAGATTTCCCAACAATTGAAAGGTTATGTATGAAGCATAAATTATGAATGGAAGGGAGTTGCAAACTCTTTAAATGTTAATTTGGGGGTAGAAAGTGATTACTCTTTTAATCTCTGCATCTATAGCACAAAGTAAATATGTACTTTATTTTATTTACCTAGTTGAATCAATTATGAAAATTATTATTTACCAAATGGCCTACCTTCCATAATCACTGTCTAAGATGAAGCTGACATTGTGGTGACCTGAAATTAATTAAAATACACAATCAATTAAGTTCCCAATCACAGGAGAACAATAACTCTATATTATAAAGCTGATTTAAAAGCAGAGAAAAAAATATAAAATCAAAACTGTACTTATGCAATCATCTATTGTCAAAGAAATGAAAACCGAGCTATCTTAAAGAAGTACCCACAATTTTAAAATATACATAGTAAGATGTCTAGAAGTTATAAGTAGAAAAACATGACAAAACATGATCATGCATTAAGAATCATAAAAGAACAGGTATGTAACCATATTGCCCTGAAATTTCTTTCACTCATTCAACAGCTTTTTAATTATTTAGACACTCTGCTAAGGGTTGAGAGATGCAGCTTGTCCTTCTCCTAACGGAACATATTGTCTAGTGGAGAGTACAATCAGTCAAGAGCAGTGACACAAACAGAGAACTTGAAATTGTGATAAGCCTATCCAAAAAAGGTAGAGTGATCTTTGAGAATGTAAGACAGTAAGTGACAGAGGCTTTTTTGAGGACATGACATTTTATTCAAAATTTTCAGGATAGAATTTGCAGAGGGCCTAATAGAAGGGAGGAAAGTGCATTAGAGAATTAAAAAATCTATGTGCCTGGAATATATAGATCAAGGAGAAAAACTAGAGTGAAATTAAGGCAACAGGTAAAACAGCTAAATTAGTCATGAAATCTTCTGTAGGAAGAGAGAAGGAAAAAAGAGAAAACTGAAGAAGTTTACCTAAACCTTAAGAAGAAAAAGTAAATCATACATGCTTGCATAGAGTGAAAGGAAGCAAAGGAAAAGAGAAAATACGAACACAAAACTGATCCAGAATAAGGCAGGAGGGTCTAAGAGAATACAAAACAGGGAAATAAAATAAGGTGTTTATGACAATTATGAAAAAAGATGACTAACACTTACCAATATAAGTTCCAGTAGTCTTACAAATCATAGAACCCATGTCTCCATTTGGATGATCTAATTTTAGACCATACCTAATAAAAAATATATGCTAATGTCAAAGTTTATATAGACACTAAAATTTTAAAATACTGTATTTTCCTTAAAAATATTTCATTAGTTTCCAAATATGCATCAGGATAGAAATTGTTGCTACAACCAAAATTTCTATAAAATAAAAATATTTCCCAAACTTCATCGAAGATATTTGAATAAAATTCCATTTCACAATGAAATATTTTATAATTAATTTGGCTATGCCAATTAATATTACTTTTAAAGAGTTTAAAGTATTATACTATGATGCATGGAGGAACCACATCTCATTCTTCTCTTATAGTCTGTGAGTACTGACCAGGAATGACATCTACTTTGATTGTAGTATTGCCATTGTTTTCAAACTTCTGATCATTGAGTCTCTCTTCAGAGACAAAAAAGAAATTAACAGATCTATCTACTGTTATCTACTATAGCTATATATACATTAGTATTGTTAATAGATGCTAAATAATGTAATTTATTTGTATTTTTGTCTACTGGCTCATTTTCTCAATGGGAGATGCTATGACATTTTGGGCAGAACAATTCATTTAGGCTTGGCACATCATAGTTCTGCCCACTAAAGGCCACTAACATACCCCGTTATTGTGACAGCCAAGAAATTCCTCCACACATTTGCAAATGCTCCCAAGAACGGGGAAATCTGCCATGGTAGAGAATCTGGAACAGGATGTTAAGTAGTGATGC